GAGAGGGGGAAAAAGGTCTTTGAAGAGCATGCTGGGACCGATATTTTCGAGGAGTTTTCAACTTTGGACTTTTTGTGGGCGCCAAGACCGAGATTTCGGCTAATTAGCCAGGAGGGCTTCTTCTGTCGATGAGTCAACGGCACTCCCCAGCGCCCTGGACGGCACAAAAGAAGTTGGGCTAAGCTACTATACAGCAATCACGCTCTGTCAAGACTTTTCTGAAATTTCAGCACGACCTTCGGAAAGGAGTTGGAAGGAGGCTAGAAAGGCAGAGGGTGGATTTCCGAGGTACCCACAAGTCTGCAGCGCCCAGCTAGCCGGCCTCTTCGAACGCACCAGAAGGATCACTATATCTTCGGATCTAGTCCTAATGTCGGTTATGAGAGCCTCGCACCCAGTGGTTTTTTGCGATTTTTCCCGCCTGCCATACACCCGCAAATGGCCATCGCTTCGTTGGCTGGAGAGGAAAGATAATGAAGGGTTAAGGGCTCCTCTAAGTGTATGATCGAATGAGGACTTGTGAGAGGGGGTACTGTTTGAGGGGAGCTGTATGGGAGGCATAGGAGGGGATATACTACTGGCATAGGTATCCTTGGCCTGTAGGCAGAGAGAACCTGCATGTCCTACGTAGTCATAAACTCAGATAGGACAATAAAATGAAATAATAACTGCAACCAGCTTGTGATTAAATTACCCCGTAGGAGTCTTCCGACAACAACACCATCCCCTGTCTCAAGTCGTGCAGAGTTTGCTTGAATGTCCATGCCGGATGATACACTACTGCACCATCCAATCGTGACGAAGTTTATGGTGTCGTCTGCAACCTCGCAAGCGGAAGAGTGTGTCGCACAATTCTATACCATTTACCTGTTTTTACTGGGTTTATGTTTATACATGGACACGTGAGTCCTCCTCGTGAGAGCCCGGACTGCATACTTCAACTGCTGGGCTATAAGACCCGAAAAGATATTACCGCAGAATCAGAGTTCTAGTGTATTCGAATAGATACAGTACAGTTGTGGCATACTGTCACAATCTCAGCTAACAGGCCAAGGATATCTGTGCCCGTAGTATGTCTTCTCCATGCCTCCCATACAGCTCTCCTCATAGCACCACACCTGTCAAGTCCCAAGTCCATCATACACTCAAAGGTTCCTCTGGTATAAAGAGACAGATTGAAAGGAAACATTAGATTTTAGGTTAAGCTAAATTTACAAGTACATATTACGGGATCTAGTGCACAAACCCCTGCCCTTAACCGTAGCCGGCCCATCAATAATGCCGGTCTCAGCGTCCGCTTAGCCGTATCCCTGTAAAATATCTATCCTTTCCAGATGCTCTTATTCCGCATTGTAGTTATTCTTGCGTCATCATTACTCTAGGAAATCAGAATAAACTTCGCATATTTCGATCGATCGATTAGATCACAACCACATTTCGTGACTGGATATTACACAATCTCCAACGGCTGCGCATGGAGGGCAAGACTGAACACCTGTACGCGGTGTCCTCTACGAACCTGGGAGTGAAATATTCTCCCAGAGCCAAGTTCAGTCAAACTTCGCGATACCGAACAAGTTGGCCCACGAGGCAATGATTCAAATTACTCCACCACGTCAAATTTTCACTCCCAAAGAGTCCGAATCCTGTCCAAGCCTCATCAAGGTTATAAGTACGACCTAGTACATCCTCATTCCAATGATCACACCTCTTGTCGGCTTTCTCTGGCCTCAGCTGGTCACCAAAAACACGCCCACGCCGATATTTACATCCGAAGGCGGAAGCAAAGCGTGGCGCACATATCTGGGAGACAGTTCTTTAGGATGGACATGGGAGGTTTCAGGACAAGTTGATAAGATGATGCAAAGGAAGGATATATTCTCCACGAGCGTGAAATTTCGAATTTTGGCAAGGAGTTTTGCAAACTGAGCTTTGTGCGTGCCAAGGCTTCGGTCACGAGAGTGCAGCTGAAACTATAAACACTGCCATGGTTGGATGGTGCGGTGGTACATCGTCTTGGTTGGTCAGCCAAGTAAGGTCTGGATAGCTTGGACAGGTATCCCATTCGAGATAGTAGATTGCTGGTTCAAATCCGGCAAAACACAGCCACTTTTTTTGCGGCGCTGATGTGCATAGATGACGAAGACATGCTTGGATAATCAAAAGTTTTGAAATTCCCTTTGGTGGGTACTTACGGAAGAGGGTCGACTGTTTGTGTAAGCAAGAATACCTCATAGTGATACTTGCGAATGAAATCCCGAGTATGAGTGTCTCTAACGTGAAAAGAGTCATCCCACATGTATACATAGCACTGGTCATGTGTCATAACTCTTTAGCTGAATACACTTAAATGATTTAAAAAAAAAAAGAACCGCAGACAGGCAATAACCTGTCTGATGTTCGTATTAAAACAACAGACACCTTCAAGATCTTATTTTATATCCCTCTGGAAAATCATTCACAGCCAAACTAATCTTGCGGCCTTCTCAAAAATCATCTTATCACCTACCAAAGCAATCCCACACCTCCAAAGCTAAATCGCCAACAAAGAAGCAAGTGGATGTCCGACCCTACGCAACTGCCAGTCGCTGTGAAGGTGCGGTCGAAATACCGGCCTTAGATGCGTCCTCACCTCGGCCAAGGGCACCATCAACTCGACCTGCGACGAACCGCCACCGACGAAATACGTACGACTTTTCGCCGGCACACCAACCAGAGCGTTCGAAAAAGGCTGGGGCATCGGTGCCTCGGTCTTGAGCTCTCAGTCGCGTTTTCAACCTCCACGGTTAGGGGTACGGCAGCGACGGGGCAAGGCCGGAGGGGTGGACATTCTACAAAGTTTCTGGGATGAAGAGATCGGCTTAGGGACAGAGGGATGCTGTATGAAGGAACCAAAGGGGATTACAAACTGAGGAGACCTTGGTGGGCGACTGGATGAGGCCCCCAGTGAAGAAAATAACACCTGGATCAGATGAGGAGATGCTGAGATGAGCTGTTGGAAATATCGCGCAATGAAATGGGCGCAATATTCATGGAACGATAGTAGAAGTTGACTAAAAGAGTGTCATGTTCGGATTAAAGCTAAAAGTGTGGGAGATGTGCGCTACAAGTACAAGTGTAAGCGACACAGAGCCTAAGCCACAGCATAAACGAATGTGGCGCTATCTAGGCATAGAAAACCCCCAATAACCTTCTTGCGCCCACGCCATACAACCGCTCATATCTCCAATAGGTAGCCTGAAGCGCTACCATATTACCTATTCCAACCTCTTACATACACACAAGATCGTGTCGGGAACCTAGACGAAATGGAGGGCCCATACGTCCACAACACTCCGTGTCACCATTTCCAACATGAGCAAAAGCTGGGAATGAATCGAAGAAAAAAGTCACAGATGGCGAAAGTATCAAGGGCTTGGGCGCGTGGTGGCCGAGGCTGAGGAGAGATTTACGCTTCAGCGCGCCAAAAGGGGGCTCTCTGGACGGTTGGGCTTGACATGATTCGACACATGGGTGAAGTCTGAGGTGGTCCGGTCATTTAGGTGGGACGAGGCACTTGTACTTTACGGTAGCTAACCTGATCCAGTCCGGCCCCACCCGTGCTTAAGCTCTAGGAGGAGTGCAACGGTAGTCACTTTACCTAGTACGTAAGTGAACAAAACAACAACAAAGACACGGAGGAGTCTATTCTTAAGACCTGTCAGTGGTGTCCCCTACGAACCTCCAGCTCTCGTTGTAGTATCTGCAGGGCCGAAATTGAGCAACAAAGTCCTCACTTCGATGGAGATTCCCAATCGCTTTCGCGGTCTGTATCGTCCTCATCTCTCAACACATTCCCCTATCACCATTGTCATGAAGCTAACCACGATCAGATTAGATGGTAGGGAGGGGGCCCTACTCATCACCAACCATTAAGCATGGAGGAAATGCCATCCAATGAGTTTCCGGAGCGTACCCAGCGCCCGATATGGAGATGGTGGATTGGATCAAGTCGGCCTCGACTGTTACAAAGAAGGGAGATATAGATGAATATGTGCATCTCAAGGGTCCCGGTGTCTAGGCCTCGCCTGGCTGGGGCTGCAGGTTTTTTGAGACCTTTTCCCGCGTACGCTGTTTCCATTGCTACCTTTTTTATTTTTTTCGGTAGATGCTTCCGTGGAAAAAGTGGCTCAATTCCACGGGTAAATACTGAGCTGAATGGCTATTCATCAAGGGGAATATATCAATGATCTTTCAAGAAACATGAGAGGCAAGGAGCACTGTACAAGGTGTGGCCTGGATCAGAAAGGAGCCCAATGTGCTAGATATTCTATGACTCAAGTAGTACATTAAACACACCTCTCTACACACCCGCAAATTGCCATCGTTTCGTAGGCTGAATAGGGTAGGTAATGAAGGGTCAAGAGCCCCTCTATGTGTCTGATTAAACGAGGGCTGGTGAGGGGAGCTGTATGGGAGGCATAGGAGGGGACATACTACTGGCATATGTATCCTTTACCTGTAGGCAGAAAAGACCTGCATGTTCTATATAGTCATGGACTGAGAGAGGACTTTAGTACTAATGCTTTGAAATGGAGTCTACTGAATTGTATAAATTACTTCTTACTAAATTGTCGAGAATCTCGAGATTAGATGGCACGAACAGGTCTGCCCCAATTAGTCAGCTATTATTGTCTGATGAGCCCAATGGCCTGAGGTCCCTGCACCTAACCTGAGTGGAACCAACAAGAAGACAACAAAATTTTAATATTGTACATCTAAACGCAGTATGAGACGATGACGTCACAAAAGAAAATTGACATTCAATACTTGCTATGAAAAAATCACAAAAAATAAGATGATGATTAGACATCGAACGAGTTCCTTTCCATTCGCGACTGCTTTCCATGCTTTAAATTATAAGTCACTCTTTATTAAAATTTTCATTTATATGCTGACTATCTTAAAACTCCCAAAACTCTACCTGGATACCATGAATTATCAAGCCATCAGAAATATCTCTAAGAAACTTGCTTTCCTGCCTTTTCTAGTTTCCTCCTTTTAGATCGTAACGATTCAGCCTCTGCATTTTTCTTCGAATTACTGTAAAGCATCTTTTCCATGATTTTCCTCTTCTTTCTCGACATCATCATAGTTGCCCGTTCCATGTCTTCCTTTTGCTCGTTCACTTTTTTGATGGCGTTTTTTCGGTCCAAAGCTTTCTTACTTGTCCGAGAGGTAGCAAACTGATCATTGAGAGGCTTCCCTTGAAGTTCTGCGTCTAACTCTCGTTGCCTCTGTAAAGCCGAAGATGTGGCTTCATCTTCCTCCTCTTCCTCCCCAGCATCAGAAAATCCCCCGAATGAGTCGGCATTATCAGAATCAACCTCTTGTTCGGATCCTTCAGAAGCGCATATATCCATTCCAGCCCCTGTGGCATCAACCTCATCTGGTGTCATAATTTTGGGCGTTTTAGCAACAACTTCATTCTCCACGTCTGATATCTCTTCTTCGCTACTGGTGTCGACAATTGCATCATTTTCTCCCTCCTGATCCTCAAGTGGGGCTCGAGGATCATACTGACCATGGACTTTCTTGACGAATGGACTAAGGTGAGGAGGTAGTTCCGCACCCGGAACGTAGAGATCAGGTCTTTTAAGTTCCTCGTCATTTATACTATCCCAGACCCATTGAGGTTGAATGTAAATCCGGCCAGGAACTCGTAAATTATGCCGAAGCTTTTGTGCCGTTTGATTATCTTCGACATCATTTTCCCCACCGTCCATCTGGAGCGGTGGTCGATCAACAATTTGGTGTGTTATTTCAGGATGTAACTCATCGTGTGTGAAAGCTCCTTCTCCAAGTACTGCATCCCATCCTATTCTCTTACAGCCAAAGGCTCGGATAATAAATTCTAGAGGCTGGCGCGGTGTTTCTCGCGACAAGAAAAACACACATTCAGAGAAAAGCATTGAAGGTTCAACAGCTGAGTATGAAGGTTGTGGTAAAATATCCCCGCCAGGAGCAGCCGGCTCAAATTTGTCGATTGATTCTTCATTTCGGCTTTCCGCGTCTTCACTTGCTATAGGCTGGTGTTGTACTGTGTTTGGGGTAGGCTCATTTAGCTGAGATACGAGCTTGTCGATTTCGGCCTGTAGTTTTGGATTGGGTTTCGTATCTGTAGGAATTGGCGCTGGTTGCTCAATGGCGCCAACATTGTTAAGCTCTAGCGAGAATGCACCTAGCTCTGCACCTTGATCATCCTTACCCTTATCAAACTTCGGAGGATATACTAGTCCAATCGAGGTATACAATCGGAAATTCACAAATGCAAGAAGTGTCTGGTAGAATTCTACAAATGTTCCCATGATTCTGAAATCGACGTCGCTTGTGATACGCTGATTGAACTTGTAAGGAACAAGCCATAAAATTTCCTGTCCTTGTACAGTCGCTTGATAATAAATACCTTTGATGGATAAGAATGATTTTCGTAAACTATTTGTCGTAATCAAGTAGTGTTCAAATTCTAAACAAAGCTTTTCGCACTTTGCAATCATTTTGGCTGGAATAGTCGATGTGGAAGGTAGATTTGCAAAAAGAAACAACATGGATAGACAGTCATCTAGGTCTCTCAGTGCGTCGATAAATGTGGGGTATCGTTCGCGAATGATGTGATTGAGGCTATATCGAGACTTCCCAGTCACCTCTGGTCGACTTGAATTACGCTCAAGTCTTGAGGCATCATGCACACTCCCTCGTCCTAGAGCTCTTGAAATCTTCTTTTCAAGTACTTTCTGTTCCCTAAACCTTTGTAGTAGTGGTTCGTGGAGAAGATATTGAATATCTCTGGTGTAGTAAAATGTAGTTGCAGCATTGGAAGATTTCGATGCTTTTTTTTTATTTCTTGGTTCGCGAGGATAGATGCCCTTCCAGATACAAAGCTTTCTGAAGTCAGGAAGGGAAATTTGAAGTTTCCGCACTGCCTGTGTTCGAGTGATGAAATTTTTGGCCTGACCAGACACGCCCTTTTTCTTTGTCTTCGCCATATCTTGCGATATCTGACGAGCGTGATATGTTTGATTTGTACGAGAAGGGCTATGTAATTGGCAAGGGATGAAAAATTGCAGAACAATTTTCTTAGATAACAGATTCTGCCCGTCTTCACCGCCCTGACTTTCATCTTGCGCATGTTGGCCCGATATCTACTTGTCAACAACGCTCTTCAAACGATGATGATTGATAGGAAGAAAGTTGCTTTATTTTCCGCTGCGGCAGCTATAAGGTTAATCCTGTTTACCGCGTTTGATGGTCTCCCGGATCTGCTCTCAGCACGAGTTGAGATATCAACTCCTGTCACCAGCTTTAAGAGATGTTAGCTGCTATAATTATTGGAGAAAATCGCTCATTATTATCTAGTGCAAGAAGGATTATTCCTTTACAGACATCATGTGTCTCCATATGATGGGGGAGTGTACCATCAAGCGCCACTACTTCTGCCGTTATTGTCTATCCTCCCAGATCCGACGACATATCCTATTTTCACCTATATCCTATACATAATTGTGGATTTATGGAGCGCAAATGCATTATCTAAGATTTCTAGTTCAGGAGAAGCTGTCTCCTCGAAACTATTCACCTCACCTAGGAAAGAGAAAAGATGGAGTAGCCTAGCTATTACAGCCGCGTTAGCAGACCTAAACTTATCTTTGGCTAATGCTGACTTTTTCGAACAGGTTTCTATTCAACCCTTTCACTGTAGCGACTTGTGTAGGCCGACCCTCCAGTGTTTTTACAACCTGTGCTATTTTAATAGCTATAGCAAAGGCGGTTGCAGGTGCATCTTTCAGTTCTATGTTCGCCATTTCAGTCGCGGCTTATCTTTCTATGTACCCAATACTTCTTCTCCCACCACTAGTGATACTTTGCTACGACCGTCGACCTTCTTTCAAACTGTCTGAATCTTTTCTAGCTTTCGCCTCTGGAAACACTCTAGCCGTCGCTGGCATACTGTACACTTTACTCTATATGTCATCAATTATCACAGGATCATGGAAATTTATGGAATCAACGTATGGTGTACAGCTATTATTGCCAGACCTAACACCAAATATCGGTCTTTGGTGGTACTTTTTTATCGAAATGTTTGACTCTTTTCGTAATTTTTTTCTCGGTGTTTTCTGGATTCATTTGTCGTCCTATGTGCCTGGGCTGACTATACGACTCCGCCGCCAACCATTATTCGTTTTAACCACTCTCCTCGGAATATTTGCGATCTTTAAACCCTACCCATCTATTTCTGACACTTCGCTATTTCTTGCAATGTTACCTCTCTACAGACATGTTTTTCCACTTATGCGATATACTTTCCTGGGCTTCTCTACTATCCTATACGCAACTCTTTTAGGTCCATCTTTCTACTATCTATGGATATATGCTGGTAGTGGTAACGCAAACTTCTTCTACGCGATTACATTAGTCTGGGGCTTGGGCTTAAGTATACTTGTCGCCGATTCACTTTTTGCTGTCTTAAGAGATGAATGGGAAGTAGAACGGCCGGAAATGCGAGGAAAAGAAATTCGCCAGATTTAATGCAACTCTATAACTACAAATAATATTGCCGAAACTATACTACGTTCAACCAAACGCCTTCTAAATGCTTATCAACGCGATAACTACTCTATCGACAAAGGTTCTCATCAGAGTAGACCTACCGTGTTTAGCCAATGAGAAACGTCAATTAATGCTATTTTCACAAAAGGATCATGTTTACGGAGTTCAAATTTCATATCATTTAAACGCAATATTTTCTAGTGATCAGTTATCAAATAAGGTTTCTAGAGTATCATGCTATATATCTCATCAAATTTAATTGAAGAGAAGAAGATACAAGATAACCTACTGTGTAGGACAGTATGTGGACCCCTCCTATTGGTCTGAAGTATTTGCCTTCATGCACGGGCGTTAATCGCACTAGGGCCTTGGCACCTAAGCAGGATATCTCTCTGTAGCTAGCTTAGATAGAGAATCAAGGACCAAGTAAAGAACCATTATCTATCTGCCAGCAGATCCAGCCTGTGGCAACAGACAGTTTAAAGCTTTATGGCAGGAAGAATTGATCATTTTCTGAAAGAGTTAGAATGGCTTTCGATGTCTTACACCAACAACAGCGACAAGTGGAAAAAGCTTGCTCCATAAGCATCGATAAAAATAGTGATCTTGAATGATTTAAAACAAAAGTAGTGTCCACTCCACCAAGATATCACCAGTTTAAATTGTTCTCTACCACAAGAGATAGAACGGGTTTTCACGTTCAATTACACAGAATAGCAACGTAGCATAAGCTGCCTGAGACAAGAACAGAACCGAGCGATTTTGTCAACTATTGCCAGTTGTTTTCTATCTAGCGGGCGTGCCTAAATCTCCCTATTGCAGATCCAGCTTCAGCTATGTTATAAAACAGGCATCTTACGTACGTATGAGTTTTTTCTGGTAATGTAAATGAATACTACGACTCACCATTAGACATCATAATAGACATATTGGTCCGGTCATCCCACCTCGCTCGTGTGCCTCTATCTCGGGCGATTTTAAACCAGAAATTCTCCCCTAGACCTGCAACTAGTATTAGAGTTTAAATTTCTATGAGCAACGTAGCGTCTTTATGCAATTCGTAAGACACCGAAACGAAGGTCACATTTATTTTGCTTGTGACCAGGCTATATTTTTAATCACCGCCCTAACCTATCCATAGTATGGAGCTCGACATGATTAATATCCACGGCTATCCTAAGGCGCTGAAAATAATAAAAATGACTAATTTACAGCCATTGCGTATCATTCTCAATCTAAGTTGACACTGAAAATGTATGCTTTTACAACATTGGCTTAATTTTCAACCTTAATTCTGCTGTTTGGAATCGTGGCCTCGACTGAAATTCTCCGCTTCGTTTCCGGATTCTAGGAAGCTTAGAAAATCACTCATAACGATCCAAATTCTGCAACTCAAATGAGAGCTAATATTGAGTCATTCTTTCTAACAACGCTGAGCTATCAAATGCATTTATTTATTTGCTGCTGGCATCAAAATCTTAATTTTTCTGTGGCCATCACTACAAAAATTTCACCCGCGCAGAATGTTGGTTTTTAAAAATAATTTGAAGTTCTAACATAAATTACCTTGCAATTTAATTTGCGCATATAATAAAAAGTCTAGTGGTGTGCAGGCACGAGATTTATGGTGCATTATGAAATACGAAAGAGACATGAAGAATGGCTTACAAGAAGTAAACTCTGTCCATGTCGCACGAAAATAAAGATAGTATGCTATAATGATACATTCTTGGATTAGATTATAAGATAGTTTCTAGAACTAGAGTTTAAAACCGTCTAAACTTGGCAACTAGGGAAAGATTCAAGCGCTAAGTGCTAGGCTTTTATTTTAGACAAAAATATATTGATTTCTTACCAATAGAGAAATATTTACCTTTTGTTCATAGCCGAGATAAATAAATATGAGGGAGACGAAACTCAACACCTGTCAGTGGTGTCCCCTATGAACCTCCAGCTCTCATTGTAGTGTCTGCAGGGCCGAGATTGAGTAACAAAGTCCTCACTTCGATGAGGATTCCCAGTCGCTTTAGCGGTCTGTATCATCTTTATCTCTCAACACATATCCCTATCACCATTATCATGAAGCTAACCACGATCAGATTAGATGGTAGGGTCGGAGCCCTACTCATCACCAACCATTGATCATGGAAGAAATGCCATCCAATGAGTTTCCGGAGCGTACCCAGCACCCGATACGGAGATGGTGGATTGGATCAAGTCGGCCTCGACTGTTACAAAGAAGGGAGATATAGATGAATATGCGCACCTCATGTGGTCTCGATTTCTAGGCCTCGCCTGGCTGGGGCTGCAGGTTTTTTTGAGACCTTTTCCAGCGCACGCAGTTTCCATTGCTACCTTTTTTTTGGGGTAAAAAGTTGTGTGGAAAAGGTGGCTGAATTTCATGGCTAGACACTGAGTTGAATGGCTATTCAACACGGTCAATGTATCAATGATCTTTCAAGAAACATGAGAGGCAAGGAGCAATTTACAAGGTGTGGCCTGGATCAGGAAGGAGCCCAATACGCTAGAAATTCTAAGACTTAAGTAGTACAATAAACACACACAGACGCAAAAGCAAGTAAATTTTGCAGCACTTTATCTGTTTTGAGCAATCCTTCACGGTCATAGAATTTGCATTTGAAATCTTTTACGTGACAGGAAGAACTTAACATTTATTTATACGTGACACGGGTCGATGGGCTAGAGTAGCCTCGGCACCTACTCCACTTGGGAAGGAGACATCTCAGATCAAATATCGCGCGGAGAAAAGTTGAAAGATGATGGAGGCATGTCTGGATAACTCAGATTTTTTGAGACGTTCCCCTGGGTGGGTATTCACGGATGAAGGTTAATTTGGGGTGAAGAAAATGCCACCATAACTTCGCAGTGGTACTTGCAAATGAAATCTGAGGCATGAGTGCTCTTCCCTTACGTTGAATCATCTATTCTATACCTTTCTTTGATATTGTTTTTGTTTTGTTTATTTTGTCCTAAGCTAAAGCTATGTTTTCCACATTGGGTCAAGAACAGGCGGAGAGGGCAGGGTTCCCTGTAATCTTTCCTACAGCCTAACTCGTTCCAACCTCGTGAATCGCTACCGAAAGTGCAGCTGATTAAACTGAAACGAAAAATCAAGAAGATCAAAACAACTCCGAAAGAACAGAAGATTCCTCCATAATGGACTCAGTCAATGTGCTCCTCACACATTCCCTCGTCTGTCACACCTTCCAAATGACAAATTTACTTAATCTCCGCTGAGAGCAGTAGATGAGTTAGCAGGCACCTTTGATCCAGCCGGTATCCTGCTAATTGTTAGTGGATGCCCCGAAAGGGGACATCGTCGAGGTTGCTGTGTCCTCAAACTTCTTCTTCAGGTCCCAGCACTCCGAAACCTGTTGCCTCGGCCATTGCGGTATCCTTCGCCGCGGCGACAATCGCCTTCTCGGCCTTTTTGGCTGCGGCCCTAGCTTGAGCCGCCTCCGCGAACTTCCCTTGCTCGAGGTGGCGTATCCACGCGAGTTGCTCTTTTGTCACCGGTCCAGACTTTCTGGGTCTGACTTGGCAGTCCTGAGAATCCGATCGATGGGGTCCCCCACAGTTACGACACTTTGTGAGGGCCCTACACTCGGCTTCCGAGTGCATAGCTGATCCACAGTTCCAGCAGGCTGGAGCGCGGGAGCAACCACGAGTGACGTGGAAGCCCAAACAGCGTTTACACTGTTCAATTTGTCGACGGGGCTTGTGTATGGTAGCCCTACCAGACTCGTCGAAGAGGCGGAAGCCCGCACGAGGGGCGACTTCCCGGTCGAAAAGGGTATGCCAGTTTCGGTGCGGTGCCCCAGGTCGACATGTCCCATGAGGTCGGACGTGTATTGGTCTCGCGCCGGTCATAACAGCGATCTTGTCGAAGACCCACTCAGAATCGACTGCCATGGGGTCTCGCTCTGTAATTATACTTACAGGTACGTTGGGTATCTGTAAGGCTACAAGATCTGAAGATGTCTCGAGTTTGGAGTTTTCACTCGCCAGCTTCGAAGAGCCACCTAGCATCTCTTGTCGTGTTTTTTCGTCCTTTGCTAGCATAGCAAAGCCGAACCTCACTCGATGAAGTGAGGTTATTTTATCGTGAAAGAAAAGGAATCTCATCTCCAATTTGCTTCTCACGCAACTTGTGGACAGTTTTCGCTACGGGTGGTCCTTTTCAAGGCGAAGGAACAGTCGCTTGTCGACTTTCGCCTTGGGGGTTTCTTTTTGTTGTGCTTTTGCCGCAGGTAGCGGCACAGCCTTTGCAGTTGGGACTGCTTTCTGTCGCAGTCCGTTTCTGGCCACCGTGGCCCAGGTGCTTTTGACGGGCAGAGCTGGGACGGTGGGTATTGTTTGGCACCTAGCATCGGGAGCCCTTGGGAGAGGGTTCGTCGGGCGAGGAGGGAGAACGGGTGGCGTAGAGGCCGGGACCGTGGCCATGTATTGCGCAATGGCGGCGCGTAGGTAGACTCTCATGGAGTCTACGAATTGTCTATTTGACCCGTTGGTCAAAGGGAGAAGGGTGGCTTCGACGCCAGAGATGGCGGCGGAGCAGAGGGCCAGATTTGCCGCAATTTTGGCGGCGCGTCGTTGTTCAGCTTCGACTATTGGTCGGAGCTCGAGGGGACACTCTGCTTTCGTGGCAGCTTTGGGCTGCGATGTTGACGTTGACGCTGCTATGGGTGCAGCGTTTTCCGACGGTTTTGAGGTGGTCAGAGGAGGTTTGGACGATTCTCCAATCCCGTGGGGGACGGAGGGTTGTTGAGGAAATTCCTCAACAATTTCGACTGACCCGATCATGTCAGTATCGGGTTCAGCAACGGCGGGGAGGGCTTTTTCCTTCCCTTTGATTGAGACCTTGCTCATATCCGCGCATTTCGGAGACTGGGCAAGGCCAGGTACTTGTTCGAGAGCCCTCGGGTGGACTCTCGTGTTGTCCAACTTGGAGTTGGGAC